TCTTCCTTTCTGCACGTTATTTTTATTTTATGATATATCATTCCATGAGAGTATTATTTCCCATTTTACAGAAGCAAGAACTGAAACTTCAAGTAACTAGTGCCTTTGAATTATCACCTGCAATGAGATTAAAGTTTTAATGTTAAACATCTGGCAAAAAAAAAAAGTATATGATTACAGAATGTTCATTGTATTACAGCGGTGGTTATTCTTCTGAGGTTTGATGGAAGATAAGTTTTATTCCCATTTAAATTTTCTGGATCTTACAAAGTTTTTGCAGTTGCTATGTATTACTCTTATAACAACAACAATAATCAAGAAAAACATGGGGTGTAAGGTGAGGGTTGGGGTTCAGCAGGTGACACCCACATACTCTGGGAGTGGCCATTCAAGTCTACAATATGCACTTCCGATGCAGCTTCATGCTAATGTGCCTGAGAAGGTACTGGAAGATGGCTCACACACTTAGGCCCCTGTGGGAGACCAGGATGTTTATTCTGCCTTTCAAATTAATAAATAAATCTTTAAAATAAAAATAATAAGGGGCCTGTTGCAGTAGCCTAGTGGCTGAGATCCTTGCTTTGCATGCGTTGGATCCCAGCTACTAATCCCAGCTACTCCATTTCCATCCAGCTCCCTACTTATGGCCTGGGAAAGCAGTCGAGGATGGTCCAAAGCCTTGGGACCCTGCACCTGTGTGTGAGACCTGGAAGAAGCCCCTGGCTCCTGGTTTAGGATTGGCTTAGGTCTAGCAGTTGTGGCATTGTGGGGAGTGAATCATTCCAACAGAAGATCTTCCTCTCTGTCTCTTCTCCTCTCTCTGTATTTCTGCCTTTCCAATGAAAATAAATAAATCTTTAAAAAATAATAAATAAAACATTGTTTTAAAAAATAGATTGGGGGGATTAAGTCTTAAGGAAAATTCCGTTTCTCTTCTTTTGAATTTTTATTTTTATTTATCTATTTTTATGTATTTGAAAGGAAGACGGCTCATCCATCTGCTAATTCACTCCCCAAATGCACCCAACAGCTGGGGCAGTGTAAGGCAGGGACCAGGCTGAAGCCAAGACCTGGAACTCAGTCTGGGTCTCCCATGTGGGTGGTAGGAATCCGACTTGTTCAACCATCATACGCTCCAGGGAGGATCATGAGCAGCAAGCTGGAATCACAAGCAAGGCTAGATTTGTACTCGGGCACCCTAACAGAGGATGTGGTGCCTTAAGCACTGGCCCAAACATGCATCCCTAAAAGAAGAAAAATTTAAAAAGTATATATATTTATTTTTATTGGAAAGTCAGATTTACAGAGTGAAGAAGAGATAAAGATATTCCATCCACTGATTCACTCCCCAAGTGGCCACAACGGCCAGAGCTGAGCTGATCTGAAGCCAGAAGACAGGAGCTTCTTTCTGCGCCTCTCATGCAGGTGCAGGGTGCAGGCTTTGGGCCATCCTCTGCTGCTTTCCCAGACCACAAGTGGGTAGCTGAATGGGAATCAGGACAGCCAGGACACGAATCAGTGCCCATATGGAATCCCAGCATGTGCAAGGTGAGGACTTTAGCCACTAGCCTACTGCGACAGGCCAAAGGAAATTCTGATCTATGCTACAACACACATGACCTTGAATGAAAGAAAAATCCTTAGGCTTTGGCACTTCAAAGCTACAAACGGACAAATACTACTTACAAGAGGTACTTGATTCTTATGATTCTTATTCATATGATACTTATGATTCTACTTATAAGAGGTACTTGAAATCATCCAGATTATACAGACTGAAAGGGGGATGCTGACTGCCAGAGGCTGGGAGAGGGAGCAAAGGGGAGTTGCTACTTCTAAGGTCTGGAGTATAAGGCCTTTGTCTTTTAGCTGCATTCTAGCGGTATATCCTCATAAGAGGGTCTTTCACATGATCTCTTTCATCTTCTTTATCTGTAGTATAATCCACTTCTTTCCTAGCCTCATTATGGTGGTGTCTTCCAATAGGGAAGCTCTCACGGGCTCCTCTTTGCCATCCACCTCATCTGTACTATGAAACATTTCTTTTTTTAGCCATATTAAGGCAGTCTTTCCTGTTGGTGGACCACTTAAGTGTTCCATTTTTCTTTCTTCCTTGTCCGTATAATGAAACATTTCTTTTTTAGGTGTATTTTGGGGGGTGTCTCCTCTTAGAGGAGTTTCTTGCAGATTCTCCTTCTAAAATGATAATAAAAGCTTTCATTAAAGCCCATATAATCCAAAAACTAACTTGAATATTTTCTTTCCTTCCGATCTTTTCACCATTTTTTTTAGTAAAATTCTTAAATTCAGTTTCTAGTGTCCCTTCATCTGGGGGCAAAGGATTATAGTCACAAATAAGCTCTAAATAAGAACGCAATTGCTGCCTAGTTACCTTTGCTCCACTTTTCACTAAAAATTTCTGCATAAGAGAGATAAAAGACTGTGCTCTACACTGGTTCTGGCCCATTTTCCCACTCACCACTTTCTGTGGGGGTTTCCACTGCACTTTTCTTCTTTCAAGGCACCACTTGTCACTGTCCCGCAGCGGTGGACTTGGTGCACGGAGAGACAATAACACCCGTGGACCTCTGAATGCTGGCCAATAGCCTAACAGCACCAGCCTATTAAAGGAAGGTTGTAATACAGGCATCCAGGGAGGAGGGGCTGAGCCATTTACATCTCAACAGCAAGGGACAGTTCCCCAAAACACAACTAGTTCCTCTAGCAGGTTCTTTATCTAAACCTTATCAATTGCTCCTGGCTCCTTCAGAGGAGATTCAACTGGCTATTGTCTCCCACAATAGCAAAGATTCTGAATGACCTTCTACAAATGAACTGCACAATTAAAAAAGATGGAGATGAAACATGTCCTGTGTATTCCGCCATAGCAAAACAGAGTTTGAGGGACCCAGTGGCGTGGCCTAGCGGCTAAAGTCCTCATCTTGAACACGCCCAGATCCCATATGGGCGCCAGTTCTAATCCCTGCAGCTCTACTTCCCATCCAGCTCCCTGGGCAAGCAGTTGTGGCCTGGGAAAGCTGTTGAGGATGGCCCAAAGACTTGGGACCCTGCACCCACGTGGGAGACCTGGAGGAGGCTCCTGGTTCCCGTCTTCGGATCGGTGCAGCACCGGCTGTTGTGGTCACTTGGAAAGTGAATCATCGGTATTGGTATTGTCTTTGTAATAAAAATAAATAAATCTTTTAAAATAAATAAATAAATCTTTTTTAAAAAGTTTGAAAAAAAGAAAGTTTGATGGGGAAAACCCTTTGGATATTCTCCTGCCCCTCCACTGGTTCTGCTCTGCCATCATTTTGTTCCTTGTCACTGTTTTACTCTCTGGCCTCGTTTATAATTAGTTGTGACCTTAAGCATTTCTCCATCTTCAGGAAAAGGACTGGAACTGGGATTTGAAGGCGCTGGCCAAAACACCAAGGGTTTTAGGTAAGAAAGGCCATCTAGGACAACAGCTGTAATCTTGAGGCGCCCAAGGAACTACCTCCAGCCACTTGGGAGTGTTTATTAAACCAGCTAAGTCTGAGATGGGAACAAGGGGAACCCAGCCTGAAACCAGCAGCTCCTTCTATTCAGACCAAGGAATTCTAAAGAAACCTTCCAACCCTCAGATGGAAAGTATTCCCAGGGGTCCTTCATGTTACAAATGAATCCATTACTCCTATTTATTAACCAACATTTATGTGCCGAGTATGACAATGGAAAGGGGAAAAGGCAGACAGAGCTCCTAACCTCAGGAAGGGTAAAGAATGTCTCTTGAGAGAGTCTTTAAACAAAGTCACATGTAAGCAACTGTACACTACTAAGCAAGATAACCTCATCCTTAAGTCAGATGGCTTGGTGGCTGGGAAAACCAGGAGCCAGCTAGCCTCTGGGAGAAGGGCTACTTGAGCTATGATGTGAAGGCAGGGCAACAAGCAGAGGTGGGGAGGCAAGGCAACCTTGAGGGAGAACTCTGGAGGGAGGCACTGCCTGAGGCTCAAGCAGAAAGCACGGACAGCAGCAAAGACAGCTGGAGGCTGTGTTGCAAATTCACTCAACAACATCTGCTTGCTTCAGCTCCCACCTCTGCTGGCACTAGGGATCGTAGGTCTGAGAGCAGTGTGCGAATCAGACTCCACATACTATCCAAGGAACCCAGGTATGCCCATCCATTAGCTAGGAGCCCGTGTTGTGGGTCAGTAAATGAAGATGCAGCCCGTTTACACCAACATCCCCATACGGGGGCACTGGTTTGAGTCCTTGCTACTGCTCCACTTTCAGATCTAGCTCCCTGATGAAGTTCCTGAGAAAGCAAAGAAAGATGGCCCAAAATGGAGCTCCAGACTGCTAGGCTCCTCCAGGCCGAGAATGGCTGTTGAAGCCATCTGGGAAGTGAACTAACAGATGCAAGATCTATGTCACTGCCTAGCTCCGTAACAAACAAGAAACTAAACGGCACATTTAAGGAGGAAGGGAAGTATCTTCCACCCATCACCTCACTCCTTAAATGGCCACAGCAGCCAGGGCTGTGGAAGCCAGGAACCATAAACTTCTTCCAAGCTCCCAGGGGGGTACAGAGGCCATCTTCCTCTGGTTTTCCAGGTGTATGAGCAGAGAGAGCCACTGTCCTGCTTACTTCTCAATGCAGACCCCTATAACTCTGCCTTACAAATAATTAAAAAAAAAAAAGCGAACGTGTGTAATGCTCAGTAATCACCAGCATGCACATATTATCTGGCACACATATTCTGTGAGCTATTGACAGATGCAAGAAACGTGCATTGTGAAAAAGTATTTTTTGTAAGTCTCCAGGGATAATGGCTTCAACCGACGTTGAGGTTGGTACTTCGCCCTTCTAGGCGCTCAGGCATGTGTGTGGGAAAAAGCTGGGCGCGACCTGGAGAACGAGCGGCGGGACTCGGCGGAGGCGGAACTGAGGGCGCGCGGTGTTGCGGCCCCGCGGACCGTGGCTTAGTGAGGCACCCGCCGGCCCGGAAGGAGCTGACGCCAACCAGGGCCGCGGCAGCCATCGCGCTTTGCAGGTCGGGCTGGGAGGGTGTAAGGGCAGACGCCAGCCCGAGAGTCGTGTTCTCCTCGGTCACAGGTGAGTGGCAGTCCCTGCTCCCGGGAGCAGTGGCGGGCGGCGGCTGTGGGCCTCGCGAGGAAGGCCCTCCTGGGAGAGGGGATGCCTGGTTTTCACCCCCGGGATCTGGGGGCGCCCGAGTGGACAGGTCTGGGGTGCCCTCCGCGATGGACGCTCGGACATCCCATCGGGAGCGCCGAGTTATTTTAGGAAAGAGCGAGGTGGCTGCAGGTTGGCTGCTGCTGCCCTCCGGGTCTCGGTTAGCTCACCCCGGTGAGGTGAAGGCAGCGGCCAGTGTTGTCATCTAAATGTATAGATTTTATTTTTGCTTTGCCCAAGTAGCAGTCCGCTAAGGAAGGTGGTGGTAGTGTGATCTCTGTGACAGATAATACAGGAAGATTGAACATTTTACTCCTGATTAGTGATGTCAATATAGCAAAGCAACATGTCTGATCTTCTGCTGTACCTTTCAGTAGACTTGGGTGTGTCGGCCAAATGTTTTGAGATGTTAAAACTTTTTAAAGAAAGTACCTTGGCGTTGTCAGAGTTTGTAGAAAGGAACGTGTTGGCGTGCCGTGTTGGGCATTGGGGAAGGTGAACCTTCCACCCTTCCCTGGGCTTGCCCTATGGGGCGGGAGTGGAAATTCCAGCGAGAATTGGGGCACAAGAGTCATCTATCAGAAATGAAAGTCTTTGCTGCATCATTACAAGCTCACAAATTCTGTAGTCATGATTCAGTGCGTCTCCACCCCCTTATCTAGGTACACTCTGGGCTGAAACTTGCTTAAATTGTTTCTTGGCCAAAACACAACTAGGCAAATAATGTTGAGATCAGTGTTGAAAGTGTTCTTTAAAGTGAGTGCTTTAAAGTGGGCATTTTCCATCATGTTTATTAGTTTTTATATTCTTAGTTCATTGTTAGGACATTCAGCCCTCAAACTCAAAAACAACTTTCTTTTAATATAGAGTCACTCTTTTTTAAAAGTCCTGTTTACATAAATATGCATATAGGTTTCAACTCTCTCTCTTTTTTAAAAGATTTATTTATTTTTATTGCAAAGTCAATACACCAGAGAGGAGGAGAGACAGAGAGGAACTTCCGACCGATGATTCACTCTCCAAGTGACTGCAAAGGCGGGAGCTGCTCCGATCTGAGGCCAGGAGCCAGGAACTTCTGCGTCTCCCATGCAGGTGCAGGGTTCCAAGACTTTGGGCCATCCTGGACTGCTTTCCAGGTCACAAGCAGGGAGCTGGATGGGAAGTGGAGCTGCCCGGAGTAGAACCGCGCACATATGGGATCTGGGCGCATCCAAGGCAAGGACTTTAGCACCTAGGCTACCATGCTGGGCTGGGTTTCAACTCTCTTAACTGTCATTTTACTCTAAAGAAAACTTGAAAACGTTTTTGCTTTTTGTGTTGTTTTTTTTTTGGTTAATTATATATATATATTATAATTGATACATATGCTATGTTTCTTGCATTTTAAAAGAAATTTGTCTCAGTTTGAAAACTGTAAAGGCTATAGGAAGAAAACAGTTTTACGGGAGAAAATGTATAAAGAAACAATCTTAAAGCACTGAATATCTTACTTGTCCATCTTATGACACCTGCTGAAAAAAACCTACAAAATAAATATAGTAAGGCCACTTTTATATTTCCAGTACTGTTCCAGTTTGGAGAGGGTAATTGATAAGTTCCCTCACAGATAGGATACTGATATTCCAGATTTTGGTCATATTTTCATCATAAGTCTGAGTAAGCACAATTGGATGGGAAATTACAGTTAGGGCCTGGCGCAGTAGCCTAGTGGCTAAATTCCTCGCCTTGCATGTGCTGGGATCCACATTGGTGCAGGTTCTAATCCCTGCGGCCTCGTCTTGCATACACCGGGGTCTTATATGGGCGCCAGTTCACATCCCAGCTGTTCCACTTCCCATACAGCTCCAAGATTGCAGCCTGGGAAAGCAGTCGAGGATGGCTCAAAACCTTGGGACCCTGCACCCATGTGGGAGACCTGAATGAGCTGCTGGCTCCTGGCTTTGGATTGGCACAGCACAGGCTGTTGTGGTCACTTGGGGAGTGAATCATCGGACGGAACATCTTCATTTCTCTCTGTCTCTCCTCCTCTCTGTTTATCTGACTTTGCAATAAAAATAAAATAAATCTTAAAAAAATCAAAATATCATTAGAAATTTTTTTAAGTTTATGGGTTGTTACTGTTGAAGTTCAATTGCAATTTGGCAGTTCACATTTTGTGCTGTCTGGTGTCAACAGTACTCTAGTATTTTCATGTGTTATGTTTAATATGGCTTTGCACTCTGTGCGGCCTTGGCATTGTTATTGTACTCAAGAGGAGATGGGCTTAGGAAGATTGTTTTACAGAAATAAAGAATAGTACTTGCAAAGGTGTACTTTAAATCCAGATTTGTTCTTTAAATCCTTGAACGGGTTCTCCATCCATCTCTATCATGCTTTTCTTCCCAAAGTTATTAATACATCGATCCTATGGTCGTACTCTGACACTTTGTTTGCCTTTTTTAGGTAATAGTAGTGTGTCTTTTTCTCTCAGTAGTACTTTTTGACTATTTGTCTTTTGTCCTCCTATGTATATCTTTAAGAAGTTCATATAAGTGAATATTTAGTATAAGACAGCTGTAATCATTAAGTGTTCATGTAAAAATTTTAAATTTGCTTTAAAAATCAGTAGCTCTATTGAACTATCATTGAAAGACTATAAATTTTACTGTTAAAATATATAGCTCAGTGTTTGTAGCAGTTACAATGTTGTGCAACCCTCAGCAGTATCTAATTCCAAGATATTTTCATCACCCCAAAATGAAACCCAGGACCCAGCAGCAGTCACTCCCTGTTTTCCTTCTTCCTAATCTGCTTACTTGTAGGGATTTGCCTTTTCTGTACATTACCTGTAGATCAAATCATCCATAAGAGCTTAGTGGAATAAGGTGTTAAGACACTATTGGTAATGTGATATGTTTTTTTTTTTTCCATTCTGTCCCTTGCACTGATTTTCGTGATACTTGAGATCATTCTTTAAATCTGCATCAGGACTTTTCCTGTTTGGTGTTGATTTCATGCAGTAAATAAATCTGCTGACGTGTATATGTTTCCTTGTTCTTGACCTTTGCTCTTCACATATCTGAATAGTGTGCTCACTGTTATGTAACCTGTTCCCAGCACTTAGGTGTCTGTAGCTAAGTAATGTTTATACTTAGTTGATTGAGTATTTCCACTTGTTCTTAGAACAGCAACTGAGGAATGAAGTCTGCCTGTTTCCAATGACTGATAACTTTATAGAACTGTACATAGTGCTGAGCCTCTAAAGCATAGTTTCTCCATGTATGTTATTAGATTATTTGTCTTAGAATAAAAATGTTGCAACAGCAAACTGGTATAGTTATTCCATTAAAATATCCATTTTTGTTTTTAAATATTTATTTTTATTGGAAAGTCAGATTTAGAGGGAAAGAGAAGCAGAGAGAGCGAGAGATTTTCTACCTGTTGGGTTCACCTCCCAAGTGGCCTCTATAGCTGGAGCTGGGCTGGTCCACAGGAGCCAGGGGCTTCTTCCAGTTCTTCCACATAGGCGTATTGGTCCAATGATGGGCCATCCTCTGCTATTTTCCCAGTCCATTAACAGGGAGCTGGGTTGGAAGTGGAGTAGTCAGGACATATGGGTTGCCAGGCCTGCATGTGAAGTCATAGCTTGCTATGGCTCAGCACCAACCCCCAAACATCCATTTTCCTTCAAGGCTTGCCCTTTTATCTTCACCATTACTCAGAGGTGTCATCAAAACCTGTAGTCATCTGCAGTAGAGACTTTGCATTAATTTTCATAGCAGTGTTGTCCACTCTTGCAGGGATTCCATTGTTTGTCATTGTGGACAGTGTACCCTGTAACCTAGCTTCCCAACCTAGTCTCTCACCCCCACTTCTCTTCATCTGTTCATTCCAGAGCCAGGCCTTGACATTTGCTGCCACCCAGTACTTCTCTTGATATTGTCTTGAGCTTGTCTTGAACTCTTCAATCTCATTATTACTTGTACTTTGCTGCCTCAATTCTGGTCCACAATTCACCTCTCACTGTTTTACTATATCTCCACCTTCCTTCTGGCTTAGATTTCTCCTGTATTCTCCCAGTTCTGTTCTGTGAGAACCTTGCCTTTGATCACCACCCCACTGGTTGCATGGCGACCTCTTGTACTTTGTCCGCTCACTGTGCAGCTCTGTCGGTGCAGCTCACAAAGTCCTGTTGCACCGCCCTTTTTCCTCTCCCCGAGCTCCATGTTCCCTAAAGCCTAAGCTGCCATTGCTGCTGGCTAGTGGAAGGTCAGAACTCAGTGCTCCTTGGCTCTGCTGTGGATGAGCCCTTGGGTCCCTGGCAATTCTTTAACTTGATCCACTCCCTGTAGTAGCTATTATGATATGTACTCTGTGGCTTAAAATTTCTTCTTTGCTCCTTCAGTTTGGGAATTAGATCCCTGACAAGGCCACAGATTTCTATCTCAACAGGAAAGATAGAGTCTCATTTCAAGCTCCTCTGGAGAGTTTGTTCCTCCGTTCTAGTTCATTCCTTCTTTTTCTTTGGCTTTGACCTCTTCCCTTCCACTGGCTGCTTTCCTTCAGTTTATCGTAGTCAAGCCTCACCCTTCCTTGAGAATCTCTTTCCTCTCATTCCTTTTCAGATTTTTTTCTTTTGAAAAAAAGAATCTTTCCTTAATGCTTCTGCCTGTTGACCTCTCTTCCCACTCCACAAACAGTGGCAGTGGGCTTATTTTGAGCATTTTATTTCACTTGATCTTTACCTTGAGGGATTTTTTTTATAAGAAACTTAAACTTGTTCAAGGTTGTTCCATTCATGAAGCATGGAGACAGTCTTGCATTTTACTTCTGGCCACTTCTGCAGCCAGCTCTGCTGTCAGCAGTTGGCTCCTTGTGGCCTCCAAAGTTGTATTGATGGGGGCTGATTTCTCATCTTCTTGTCTCGGTCCCAGCAAACTGAATGCTATGGTTCCTTGGACTATGCAACATGTAAGTTTAAGATGACACTTTGGGGGCCCAGTGCAGTAGTCTGGTGGCTAAAATCCTCACCTTGCATGCGCTGGGATCTCATATGGGAACCAGTTCAGGTCCCAGCTGCTCTGCTTCCCATCCAGCTCCTTGCTTGTGGCATGGGAGAGCATTTGAAGATGGCCCAAAACCTTGGGACCTTGCACCCACGTGGGAAACCCAGAGGAGGCTCCGGTCTCCTAGCTTCAGATCAGCCCAGATTGGGGAGTGAATCAACAGAGGATCTTCATTTCTGTCTCTTCTCCTCTCTGTTTATCTGACTTTTCAATAAAAATAAATCCTAAATAAAAAAAAAAACTATCTTTACTTTATGCTAGTATGATGAGACTTGCATACTCTTCCTTCTTTGTCATAATCTGTCCACCTCCTCTTCTCTCTCTATCCACAGGTTTTGGTAAATATCCCACTATATATATACTACCATTTAATTAGCTTCCTATTTTTTTTTTAATTTACTTACGAATTATCATCTATTTGAAAGGCAGAATTACAGAGAGTGAGAGAGGCAGAGACATTCCATTCTCTGGTTCACGCCCCAAATGCTGGCAACATAGTTTAGGCCAGGCCAAAGCCAGGAATTCCATCTGACTGTCCCGTGTGAGTGGCACAGGCAGGACTTGAACTGGCATGCACAGGGATGTGACTGTTACAGAAGACAGTACACTGGCTTCTAACTTGTTGAGCATAGATTATTTCCAGATATTTTTCTTAACATTTCTGATACACATCTTTATGCATGAAACTTTTCTATGTTATGTTATGACAATTTCTGGAAGTAAAATTCTGAGCCAAATGGTATTAACACATATATTACTGCCAGATTGATTTTGAAAAAGATCTGTACACAATTTATACTTTCAGCAACAGTGTCTTCTTTATCACATCCTTTCTAGTCCTGGCTTTTCTGATTCTTTCTTCATTTTGTTACTTTAATGAGCAACAGCTGTCTCTACTTGGTATCTTAGTGATATTTTCTTTTTCACATGTAAGAACAGATCAGATTAAACCGGTCTTCATAATAGGATTTATTTGTAGTAAAATTGTTGTGGTTATCATGTTCACAGATTTGGCATTTGAAAGTTAGTGTTTACTGGGGCCCGATGTGGTGGCTGGCTAATCCTCTACTCTGTGGTTCTGTTATCATATATGGGCATTGGTTTGTGTCCTGGCTGTTCCACTTCCAATCCAGCTCTCTGCCTACGGCTTGGGAAAGCAGCAAGGTGTGGTCCAAGTCCTTGGAACCGTACACCCATGTAGGAGACCTACAAGAAGCTCCTGGCTCCCAGCTCAGCTCTGGCTCTTATAGCCATCTGGGGAGTAAACCAGTGGATGGAAGACCTTTGCTTTCTGTGAAAAATCTGCCTTTCAAACAAAAATAAATAGATTTTTTTGTGTGTGAAGATGTTTACTGTTGGCAATTAAATTCAAAACTCCTTTTTTTCAGACCTTGGTAAGATTTGGACATGTCCTTCATATTTGATTGGATTTACAGTGGCTTCAGCAGTGTGCTACAGTTTTTAGGTAATGTTGTCTCTTTGTTCTTTATAGTTATCTTGCTTGAACTTATTTATAGGATGATGATTATTTGTTGATCCTCTTTATAAATAAACCGGGGATTAAGAATGTGGGCTTTGTAGGATGCTGGACTGTCTGACATCGTACCAGCAATGTCGGGGCACACTTAAATAACAGACTGATGGACTTATGACTGCTTATGAAGGACTATACTATTGTAACATGTATATTACAATATGCATATTACAACATACAATGTACATATTATAATATATACATATGTATATACACACACATATATAATATATACATACGTATACATGTTGTATTGCAATATTACAATATGTAATATATATTATAATATGGGGAAAATCAGTCGGGGTGGGAGTTGGAGGGTTGGGAGGGAAATCCCAGACCCTATGGAATTGTACCATAAAATTGAAAACAATAAAATAAAAAAGAATGTGGGTACTTTGAGTAATCTTCCTCTTGGGTAGATTGCCATTTCAAGTCCCAGCTACTGTCTTTCTGATCCAGCTTCCTGCTAATGTACCTTAGAAGCAGCAGGTGATAGCTCTGTACTTGAGTCCATGCCACCCATACAGGTTACCAAGGATAAAGTTTCTGGCTTTGGCTTTGCCCAGTCCTGGATGTTGCAGGCATTTAGGGAGTCAACCAGCAGTGAAAAATCTGTCACTCTGTGTTTTGAATGTACACACACACACACACACACAGATACACGCTTGCACACATATATATGATGTGGACTTGAAAACATATCCAATTGCACATCTGTTTTAAAGTATGGATCTTGGGATGGCAGATTAAACCACTGCCTACAGTGCCAGCATCCCACATGAACATGGTTTGGAGGCCTGGCTGGTCCATTTCTGATTCAGCTCCCTGCTAATTGCTTGGGAAAACAGCAGAGGATGTTCCAAGTGCTTAGGCCCTTCCTATCCACACTGGAGATCAGGATGCACTTCTTGGCTCCTGGCTTCAGACTGCTCCAGTGTTGGCCATTGCAGCCATTTGAGAAATGAAATACTGGATGGAAGATGAGTCTCTCTCTCTCTCTAACTCTACATTTTAAATAAATCTTAATAAACAAATAATATAATTTTGAATAGATTACTTTCTCCACTGTACCCCAAGTTTTCTCATCTATAAAATGGCAATAATAATTGTCACTTGTAAAAATACTACTAATGGGGTGTCCTTTGACCTAGCAGTTAAGACTCTAAGACACCCACAGTCCATGTCAAGATTCTGGCGTCGGTGTCTTTCTCTGACTTCAGCCTCTCACCTCCAACCTCTCACTGATCGGAGATCCTTGGAGGCTGGCCTGTGCTCCTGGGCTCCTGACTCCCCACTCTGCCTTCTGCTTGGCCCCAGCTCACCGGTGTTGGGGAGTGAACCAGCAGATGGGAGTGCTCTCTTTGTCTCAAATTTGCTAATAAAGGAAGATTACTAACAGAAATGCCTACCATTTATTAACTAGTGTATGTACTTCATGCTTGCATGCATTTTCTCAGTTGATGCATGTCTGCATCCCACATTAGAATTCCTGAGTTCAGTTCCTTGCTCTATTCCTGACTCTAGCTTCCTGCCAATGGACATTCTGGGAGATGAACCAAGTGACTGGATTCCTGTCTTTACATCTGAGACCTGGATTGAGTTCTTGGCTTGAGGCCCAGCTTGGCTCAGCTGCTGCTGGCATCTGCAGGCTGAAGCAGCAGCACATGGGGGCTCTGTCTCTTCTCTACTTGTCCCACCCCCATTGCTCAAATATTGGGAAAAATATTTCCAGCAAGCAGATTATTAATAAACATAATTATCCAGCAATCGTAAGAGTCACTAGTTTTTGTTTGAGAAGCAGAGAGAGAACAAGGTAGGGAACAGGGACAGGTGTTTGTTCCTGTGGTTAGATGCCACTTGGGTTATCTGAATTCCAGATCGCAGTACCTGGTTTGTGTCCTGGCTACTCTGCTTCAGTTTCAGCTTCCTGCTGATTTACAACAGGGAGGTAGCCACTGATGACGCATGTACTTGGTTTCTGCCACGCATGGAGGAGACTTGGATAGAGTTCTAAGCTCTTGGCTTCCACTTGGCTCAGCCTTGTCTGCAAAGGGTGAAACATCTTGCTCTGTTCTCTTTCTTTCTTTCAAATAAATAAAACTTTTCATCTGGGAAAATATTAAAACTTAAAAAAAAGTTTCCATGCACTGGTGTGATGGACCTGGACTCCTGTTCCAACATGGGAGACTCAGATGAAGCAGCTGGCATTGTTCTGGCCCAGCCAGCGCCATTCTGGCCATTTGGAGAGTGAATCAGAAGACTGCTTACTTGCTCTCTCACTCTCGTAATCTTAAAATAGATTATAATTCTACACTTATCTGGGTCAGATTTAAAGATTTGAATAATCTGAGTCAGATTACTTATACTGCTTTCACTAATCGTAACTCTTACTCTGCAGGATTATATAAGAAAACTGGTAAATTGGTATTTCTTGGATTGGATAATGCAGGAAAAACAACATTGCTACACATGCTAAAAGATGACAGACTTGGACAGCATGTCCCAACGTTACATCCCAGTAAGTATGTCCCCCCATAAGATCCAGTGCTGCTGAGTCATGTGCACTAACCAGATATGGTTTGTATTTTGTTTGTGTTTTTGTTGTTGTTAGTAAGACTGGAAAAGGAAGATTTCATAAAATTGATAAATCTTTTATTAGGAGAAAAGAGTGGGGCTTGGCAATAAGATTCTGATACACGATCAATACTATTAAGGAAAAATGATCATGGTGAAATTGAATATATAAAATTGTCTGCAAAAACAGCAGAATTGGAAGAGACTGCAGAGTGGTCTTATATTAAGTGTAAATCATTTTTTTACTTTTTGGTGTTGCTCTCTTATTCAGCAAAAAATCTACTGAGCCCCAACTTTGTATCAGACATTGTTGTAGATGCCAGCGCTATAGCAGTGACATAGAGCACGGCTCACACTCATTTCAACTTCTGTTTCTCAAACTGAAGTATCAAAAGTATCATGGAGAAATCTCACGATCCAGCAGTTACACTCATGGGCATTTATCTGGGAGAAATGAAAACAAGAGCCTTGCATAGGACTGTTTATACCAGCCTTATTTATAATAGTCCCAAACTGGAAACATCTGCCACATCTAACTGACGGAAGCAGCATAAGTGGGCATTTGGCCTGAGGTTAAGGCACCACTTGGGAGCCTCCATCCCAGGTCAGAGTGCCTGGGTTTGAGTCCCGGCTCTGCTCCCAATTCCAGAGTCCTAGCTGAGACCTGGATTGGGTTCCGCAGCTCCTCCCCTTTTTATTTGGCCCATCCTTGCCTGTTGCTAGGGAAGAAGCCAACAGATGGCAGCTCTCTGTCTTTGTCTCTCCTTCCCTTTCCTCCTTACCCCCTTCCCTACCACCAAATTAATTAAATTTTTTTAAATATTGAATAAACATTGGGCTTTAGCAAGAAAGAGGAATAAATTACTGTTACATTCAGTCATATTAATGCTACATGGAAGAAGCTTGCCACTAAAAAATTATCTGCAGTCTGATGCCATTTATGTGTAATTCTAGAATAGGTACATTAACCAAATTCAAATCATTGGTTGCTTCTAATGGTGAGGCCCGATCTTGGAATGGTTAAAGGAGACTTTCTGAGTTGTCTAGCAGTGTTCTGTAGGTTAATTAATCATTCTGGAAGTTCCTTTATGTATAAGTAATCATAACCATCCCAGTGGCTTTCCAACCACATACAAACATCATTATTTCCTGGAAAATAGCAACTTTGAGCACAGACTGTATTCAGTGTTTTATGCAATTGGTATTCAAAGCTTAACAGAACATACTATTCTGGGTCAAAATATTTACACTGAAACTTTCATTACAGTTGTGGGGGACTTTGGGCTGTGAGGCAGTGACAATGTGGAATTACTCCGCCACCCTAAAGTACTAGAAAACTGGACCAAAAATATATGGTAACTGTTTTCAGATATTGGGCAGTAGGAAGCACAGGAATGGTGGAAGGGTTTCTGAGAGGAAAAAAAAAAGCCTCCACTATTCTAGCTTTATGCCTGAAGGTAGTTTTCCAGAGTATTTTACAAAGAGAGGAAACTGAAACACAGCTCGAAGTCTGTCTTAGCCAAGGCCTTGACAGACACACTTTGGAGAAGCCAAGGTCTGGGCAGGCAGGGTGCCAAAATGGAGGAGGTCTGAAGAGAGGACTGCAGACATTTGTGTGGCTGAAAACCAATCTACATATGCTGTGGTTGGAATTCCATTCCACAAGACCAAAGAACCGTTTTCTGAGAAAACACAATTACCACTTGATAGTCAGATGATTACTATAAGTCATGTAAGATTGGGAAGGATTCAGCTTCCTACCAGCTACAAAGAGAATATTTGGTTGGCTATACAAGGCACTCAGTAAAAACCCCAAAAGGATCATGCCTTATCAATGGAGCAAAGCTAGCCCCAAGCTCAAGGCAACTCTAGGTTTGTCCAAACAGAACTTAAAAATCTGCCAGCAACTTAACTGTCAGAACAAAATCTAATCTTCAAAGCAATACAACAAAATTCAGCAACTATTATAAAATTGCTAGACATGTAAAGGAGCAGGAAAATGTGGTCCATATCCTGGAGAAAAATTAATAGGAAAGTGACAAATGATAGAATTAGTAAATAAGGTGGTTAAGACAATTTTAATGAATGTGCTCAAAGACTTAAAGCGGGAGTGGGGAACATGTAGTTGGGAGAGCCTGAAAAGTTCCCGGCTCCTGGCTTTGGATCAGCTCGGCTGACTGTTACAGCCATTTGGGGAGTGAACCAGTGGATGGAAGATCTTTCTGTGTCTCCTTTCGCCTGTATATCTCTCTTTCCAATAAAAAATGTATAAATCTTTAAAAAAGAAAACAGAAAACAACCAGATGGAACTTCTAGTATCTGTAATGAAATTTTCATTGGTTGGGACTAAAATCCTGTTAATGCTAGCACTGCAGAGGGAAATATCAGTGGTTTATTTCAGTGAGATAGAAACTAAAAAAATGAGTAAGAAAGAGAAATGACTTAAAAGAAAAATAAACAGCTTCAATGAAAAACAGTTTGTAAACCTATAATTAAAATTCCAAAAGCAGAGTAGAGGGAGTAGAAAAATATTTGAAGAAGTAATGGCCACATTTTTTTTAAAGTCTGTCTCTTGTCAGTTTTAAGAGATAATTATTATTTAAGCTACATAAAAAATTAATAGATTGAAGCAGTTAATTGAATACATAGCAAACATTTTTAGTAGAAAGAACAGTGAAGGGAAAATAAATGTTTTATTTATGAAAGATAATGAAGACCAGAATTTATTATTATGATGGTATGCATTGTGTTTTTAATTCAAATTGGAGCATAACTATGTATTCTCTTACCGATTCCTAAATGTTGAGTTTGATTTTATTCACAATTTTAATGAACCAGACATTAAGTAATGATGTATGCCATGGGTGAGTTTATGTGTTCTATGTTGTAAAGAATTATTTATTGTATTTAGCTTCAGAAGAACTGACGATTGCTGGCATGACTTTTACAACTTTTGACCTGGGTGGACATGTTCAAGGTAAGATTTGATTATTCTTACAGATGTTATATTTTAACTTAATAAATACAGAACTATTAGGTTCTAGGACATGAAATCTGATTCTATGCAAGCAAGATCAGAGTAAATTTAAATTTAGGAATTAGTATCCCCAGATAAATGCTTTGAAAATCAGGAGTGGGGGCCAGCTTGTGCATGGCGGTTAAGATGCTATTGGGATGCCCAAGTCCCATATCAGACTGCCTGGATTCAAGGCCGGGCTGTTCCCCCAGTTCTGCTTCCTGCTCATGTGCACCCTGGGAATCAGCAGGTGAGGCCTCAAGTGCTTGGGTTCCTGCCGCTCACATGGGAGGGCTGGATTGAATTCTGGGCTTCTGTCTTTAGTGTGCCCTAGCCCTGTCTGTTACAGACATTTGAATGAGAGAATGGAAATCTTTTTGTCTCTCTTTAAAAGAAAAAAAAAAGATGGGACTGGTGCAATAGCTCATTTGGCTAATTCTCCTTCTGCAAGCGCCAGCATCCCATGTGGGTGCTGGTTCATGTTCTAGCTGCTCCATTTCCTATCCAGCTTCCTATTTATGGCCTGGGAAAGCAGAGGAGGACAATGCAAAGCCGTGGGACGCTTCACACACGTGGGAGACCCAGAAGAAGCTTCTCGTTTTACATTGGCTCAGCTGCAGATGTTGTGGCAATTTTGGGAGTGAACCAGCTGGTGGAATATCTTTCTGTCTCTCCTTTCTGTAAATATGCATTTCATATAAAAATGAATTATTATTTTAAACAAAAAGTGAAAATTAGTTCAAATTTCTAAAGAAAAAACTATAAAGAATGATTTTTGTGATGCTCCTGGTCAGTTAAGTAAGAATCGCTAATGGTGACAAAACATGAGTACAGTTTAGCTGCCATTCTGTCTCTCTTCTTGTCTGTTTCTCACCTGCCGTCATAGTTTGTGACTATGTTAATGTTGTGTGAGGCTTCAATAACTAACTTAGTACTTGAAAATGAAAGCCTTACTAATTGACCTGCCATCTGGTCCTTATTTCCTGCTGTTCCCCTTTTCTGTTCTCTTTACTCAGCCAGACCAGCATTTTCCAAAACATACTGAGTAATAATTTGCAGATATTGATTTCAGGAATATGAGGACAGAAGTGAATTTGAATGTAATAGTTTGTCTAAGCCTTTATTTTTTTAAAAAATTTCAACATATGTCTTAAAACTTAAATCAGAAAACTATTTTCTTGTGATATATTCCTATCCTGGGAAAATTACTTTTTTTTTTTTTAGATTTAATTGGAAAGTCAGATTTACAGAGAGACGGAGAGACAGAGAGAAAAGATCCCCCATTTGCTGGTTTACTCCCCAAGTGGCCACAATGGCTAGAACTGAGCCAATCTGAAGCCAGAAGCCAGGAGCTTCTTCCAGGTCTCCTGTGTGGTACAGGTTCCCAAGGCTTTGGGCTGTCCTCAGCTGCTTTTCCCAGGCCACAAGTACTGAGCTGGAAGGGAAGTGAAGCAGCTGGGATATGAAGCAGCATCCATATGGGATCCTGAGTGTGGAAGGCAAGGACTTTAGTCACTAGGCTACTGTGCTGGGCTCCAGAAAATTACTCTTAGGGTTTCACAGACTTTAGTTATGTATTAAGATTTCATTTGTTTTCTGTTTTGAATAGAGCCATTTGCTTTTAATATTTTAGTTAAAGAGGCTTGTACCCAGCACTGTCACTTACTTCTTATTTAGCCCTGGCCCCCTCCCCACCAAAAAAAATTTTTTCCAAAGGACAAAAAAACTTGATAAATTGGAAATGTCAAAAAGTGGTTATTTTTTTTGTTTTGTTTTTTAATGTAAAAAGTGGTTATTGCACAGGTATATAAAGTAGTTTTCTGCTGGTATGTTACATTTATATAGTAATGACCCTATGCTAAATTTGTCATGTATCTTTGTCCAATGGTAGCCAAGTATCCATTCTGTTCTTACATGGGCTAATTGAAGAAAAGGATAGTATTTAACTGGCTTACATAAAAGAAAACTTGAAATATCTTTTATGATGAAAAGTTTTCAGCACCATCAGATAAAAGATTAAACTGGCTATATGGTGAAGTAGCAGCAGCCAAGCAGTAACTTCACTCATTATTTTGTTGGATTCTTCCAGCAAATAAAATCTAACTCGTGGTTGTTTTTGTTAGCTCGAAGAGTGTGGAAGAACTACCTTCCTGCCATCAATGGTATTGTATTTCTTGTGGATTGTGCAGACCACGAGAGGCTGTTAGAATCCAAAGAAGAACTTAATGTAAGTGATTAAAACTAAACATACTGAACTCTGGTAAGCCTAAAATGGATTGGAGATACAGATACCAGAATGCAGCTTTTCTGCAGTCTGAGGAAAGTCCTGGCCGTTTGTTGAGCTCGGTGATTAGTTAGAATACAGAGGGAGTAAGTTGGAGTAGTTGCAGCTATTGAGGAATTACTTCAGATATCCTTCCTGAAGTCTTGAGGAGCACACCTTGTACAAAGCGGGTTCTAGTATATTTCCTGTCTGCTGCATTCCTGGAGTGGGTTGATCTTCAGTCCCTAGTTTCCTAGAAGCCATTTTGTCAGGAGTTGGCCAGAACCTGGAACTGGTACAACATGCTGTGTTCATCAGCACTCCCAGGAGTGAGCAGAGGCTGTGCAGGTACCTCCTCTCCCTTCTCCAAAGCCCTGGGGAGAAACAGGCTAGGCCAGTACTGAATCCGGGGCAGCAGACTAATCAGGTCCATGATTGGTTCCTCTTCCCAGAGAGGACAAACAAGTGTTTATTCATGTGGCCAGTAGGCTCTCTGGTCTTGAAATGGCCAGGGAATTCCTAAGTTCCTGCCTTGTGCCAGATACTGTATATTATTTCATGCTGCTGTTCCTAATCTCACAGCTTCAGTGACACTGATTTGCCCAAGATCACAACTTGGAAACAAAAACCAGGTCTGCGTAACGTCTTGGTGTTGGTCTCACCTCTGGACTTCATGCTTTATTACACAGTCAACAGGATGAGCACTCACAGCAAGAGCCTTGGGGAGCACAAGAGTTGAGTTAATGGTCTCACCAAGCACATGATGCTGTGGGAGAAGTTTGCCAAAGGGAGTTGGCATGACTTGATATGGTATAGAATGAATCATTGATTGTTTTGGTGTCTTATCTTTTGTATTGTTTCTTTCAGTCATTAATGACAGATGAAACCATTGCTAATGTACCTATACTGATTCTTGGGAATAAGATTGACAGACCTGAAGCCATCAGTGAAGAGAGGTTAAGAGAGATGTTTGGCTTATATGGACAGACAACAGGAAAGGTAACAACAACAAAAAGCTAGAAAGTGTGATTTTGTGGTACCTGTGTTTTTGTAAATTACAGTGGCCCAGCTACAGATGCTTATTACCTTCTTTTTTGTTAAAATTGTCATTTATGGGTCCAGCATAGTAGCCTTTCCAATAAAAATAAATAAACCTTTAAAAAGTATTTTACTTATCATAAATTTTCAGAATTGGCCACCAAGGGCCAATGTTGTATTTTTTCTTTCTTTCTTTTTTTTTTTTTTAATTGCAAAGTCAGATATACAGAAAGGAGGAGAGACAGAGAGGAAGATCTTCTGTCCAATGATTTACTCTCCAAGTGACCGCAACAGCCAGTGCTGTGCCAGTCTTAAGCCAGGAGCCTGGAGCTGCTTCCAGGTCTCCCACACAGATGCAGAGTCCCAAGTGTTTGGGCTGTCCTCCACTGCTTTCCCAGGCCACAAGCAGGGAGCAGGATGGGAAGTGGAGCCACTGGGATTAGAACCGGCGCCCATATGGGATCCCAGCATGTTCAAAGCGAGGACTTTAGCCGCTAGGTCAGTGCGCCGGGTACCAGTGTTGTGTTTCAGCAGGTTAAGCCACTACATGCCACAACAGCATCGCGTATTCAAGTCTCAGTTGCTCTACTTCTGATCTAACTCCATGCTAATGTGCTTGGTACAGCAGCAGCAGGCAATCCAAGTACTTGGTTCCAGCCCCAACGTGGGAGACCTGGATCTCTCTTGACTCTGCCTTTTAAGTTATAAAATAAATAAATCTTGGGGGAAAAAAAGAATTGAATTTTTAAACATACCATAGTTTGTTTAGGCCCTGTGTTGACCAGAAAAACTTGATAAAATATCAGTAGTAATATTTAACAGATTTTTCAACATAAACTTTATTTATTCGTTATTTTTTTAAAGATTTATTTTTATTGGAAAGGCAAATTTGCAAAGAGAAGGAAATACAAATCTTCCTTCCGCTGGAGAGAAACATCTTCCATCTGTTGGTTCAGTTCCCAAATGGCTGCAGTGGCCAAATTTAAGCCAATCCAAAGCCAGGAGCTTCTTCCACATCTCCTACATTGGTCTAGGATCTCAAAGCTTTGGACCATCCTCTTCTGCTTTTTTAGGTTATAAGCAGGAGCTGGATGGGAAGTGGAGCAGCAGGGACACAAACCAGTGCCCAGATGGGATGCTGGCCCTTGGAAGTTGAGGATTAGCCAGTTGAGCCAACACACCTATACTCTTTATTCCTGGACTTTGTTAAATAACAGGGCAGAAGGAATCCTAGTGTTGTTGAAAATCCCAGGTAAACAATGGAAAATCCCAAGTGTGCAGGCAAAATTTCTTTGGTGCGCAGATCCTTACTCAGAATAGAGCTCCATATAGATTGAGATTTTGTCTTCTTTTTAATAAGTCAGCTCCACCTTAGCTTTCAGAAGTGCTTTATTTGGTCCTAACCTGCTCAGAGAGTGTCTGTTTTTAAGTTCAGTGAAGCCAGTTTGGACTTTTGTAAGTCATACTATTTTTCTTCTTGTGCGCCTTACAAGCTCGCCTACTTCCCACTAAAGGGCCATTCTTTCCCAAGGTGAAGTGTGTGTAGGGAACTGAGTGGTCAAGCAGGCACAGCCTTGTCAGTCACCTTTGAATGGAGTTGCATGCTGTGAAACTCCACTATAATATGTGTGTGTGTGTTCTTTTTTAGGGGAATGTGTCTCTGAAAGAACTAAACGCTCGACCTCTGGAAGTTTTCATGTGCAGTGTGCTCAAAAGGCAAGGATATGGAGAAGGCTTCCGCTGGATGGCACAGTACATTGACTAATGCCAGCCTGCATGGCTTCTGGGCCTCCACAGTCAGGCCACCCAGAGATTTGATCACTCAACTTGCGGAACTTGAATTCAATAGACTTTTGTTGGTTAAAAAGCAGATGTTTTGTAGAATATTAATATATCGACTTAATTTGAGTGAGAATTGAAACTGATTCAAGTAAGTTTGGATATCACCTTAGCTTTCTAATTACATGAAATAGTTTTTACAGTTTATAATCTGACATCACCCCAGCACCCTTTATAAAGAGTGTCTTTCCAGCAGTACATTTGAAGCACTTTCTAACAATATGAAACTACAAATACACATTTAAAAGCTCATCATGTTAAATTTTTTATGTACTTTTTTGGAACTAGTTTTTAAATTTCGGATTATATGTTCACCCCCAAGTGTACAGTTAATAATTAGCTTATCAGTGAATGCATGATGCCTTACAGTTTTCAACAATAGTTTTTCTTATGCAAACATCATGCAATAAAACAGGTTCTAATGTTTGGCATCCTTTCTGGTCAAATGTTTCATTTGAATGTGTCTTATCTAGAGAGGACACCCTGAAAATGTGAGCACTTGATATTAATTATACACCTGAGGGGGGTTTTTGGACAAGATTCATTCCGAATATTTAGAATAAAGTTGAAGTCCCAGAGGCTTTTGCATTTACTGTGGGACAGTTGTAGTGGGCTGTACCTGGTAACATGTGTATCTCTGACTCATGAGCATTTTTATCAGTGTTGTCACCATTATCAGTGCTGATGGAGCCTGTATCCTCGTCCCTTTCAGGCCAACCTTCTGGAGAAAAACACACCCATGGTACACAGGTTGGTTGTCAGTGTGGTGGGTCCCCTGTTCCCATCCCACTTGTCTAATTCTGAAGTATTCCAGTCTTATGGGTGTCCAGTATGGGCATCTGTGCCTCTTCAGCTAAAGCAGTGACATGCCCCATCTCTCCACACTTAGAGGTGCTCCCCGGGGCAAGCCACAGAGGACCTCTTGTGCACAGGTGCACTGTGGGAGGCCTACACACTTGAGAACTGCTCATTCTGCTGCTCTTGTCACTCTGACACATGGGAAGTCCTCTCCTGGCTTCCAGCTCTGGGGTATTCTTTGACATGCTCTGTTTCATGATTGGCTGAAATGAGTCATTTCTAATTTTCACTTTCTTAGTTGCTCTCAGCTAGCTCTTAGCTCTTTCTAGCACAGACTTTTGTTTTGGACAAGGCACGGACTGTAATAGTAGTGTCTTTGCAGATGCCACAGCTGAACTTGCATAATGGTTTTCTAAATGCATGAACATTCCCTGTGAAATTTGATTCTTTGCTCCATGTGTCTGAGATTTGCATTAGTAAGAGAAAAGTGCCAAAAATGTTTTTTTTTTTAAAGATTTTCAAGCTTAAGATTTCTCTTCATCAAATTTTTATAGTATATTCAACCATGTCCATGGAGAAAAGATTATTCTATCTGGCATAATTCTAATATCAAAATTAAGGTTTTTTTCTGTAGTCCAAGTTGGTATAGTCCTTTCTGTTAGAGGTAATGTAGGCAGATAAGCACTGAGAACAGACTGGACAGAACCACTGGTTAGCTGTGCTAGCGGAGTCATCTCTTGCTATGCATTTGGTTTTAGTCATGTGGCTATGCTGGATGACTGTCAGCTTCCAAAATGAAAACAGAACATTCTTTGCTATCTAGAAACAACAGTAGCACTCAGTGAAGACATGGTGGACAGTGATTAGTTTAGCCAGATAGGCTTGAGGTGCTCCTCAAGTCCTGACCGGTTAGAATTAAGCCTTATATCAAAGTGGCAGCCTCTTCTGCAGTGGTATCTGTTTTCACTACCTTCAGGAACATGACTTTTTTCTAAGTATTTCTTAGAGTATCCACTGGTTTAACTCTGATTACTTGTGTCATCAATTGATATAAAGGAGAAAGCTTCCTGGTCTCTGCAGTGGGGAAAAATGCTCACACCAAAACCCTCATCCTGATTCTGACTTTGGAATCAAGGAGACAAATAGAGTTGCTCTGCAGACCACGGCTGCTCTGTGGGAATTGTCCCAGCAATGGGAGATTGCTGACGGCCTGAGGCTGTAGGGTGAAGCTGCACTCAGCAGCAAGCACTCAGGGTTGGAGGCAAGGTTCCCAGGCACAAGGTTTAGCATGTGGCTCCCAGAACCCCTTCACCCCGCAGAGCTTAGGTGAGGCACTGCTCCCCTAAAAGAGAGGCAGACCGAGAGAAGGACAACAAATGGGAAAGGCACAGTTCTGTCTGTGCCCTTGTGGGTTCTTTCCCAAGAAAAAAGTATTGAGGATATAGTTTAGTTGGTGACCTGCACTGTAAGTTATTAAAGGATAGTTGTTAAGGCTGGGATTCTGTATCACTCAAGCACTGTTAAAGATGCTTTATAACCCCAAATCTAAAATTCTAAAAATTGTAAGGAGTCATCCTACTTTTCTATTTCTAAGGAGATTTTCTCCCTCATTTCTTTCAGTGACTGCTGTTAATTAGACTTTTGGATCATAACTGGCTAATTGACCAATTCCAATTGATCTCAGCTAATTGTTAGAATTAGGTTATAGCATTTTCAAAATTGGGGAATCGACATTTCCTAAAATGTATTACGAAATACTCTTCACCTTTGGCTTAGTTCAACCACTGTCTGTAAAAGTGCCAAAGATAAATGAAGTCAGATATTGCCTACATGTACAACGGTTTACAACAAGTAGAACCTTATTTCTTTTCCTTAGTACTTACCTGACTCATTCTTCTCTGTACTAGTTGCCAGCAAAAAAACTGCTTGTAAATCATTAACATAGGAAGATATGGCTATAACCGTGTTTCTCGCCTTCTGGGGAATTATTTCATTAACGATATTGAAAACCCAGCATTTTCACAAGTTTTATCTCATTAAAAACAGTATATATCTAGTGAACACGATTTGAGTATTTCTAGGAAAAGGTTTACATTTTCTCAAACTGGTACTTGACTCAGTGCTATTTTAGTCTGATTAATCACTTACATGACTGAGATTCGCAACAATTTATTGCCAAGTAGAATTTGACCTGCATACACTGAGGTTAGCTTATATAAAGGGCAATCTCAGAATTCCTTCTGTTTTTTATTTAGAGTGTGTTCGGATCATTTTAAATAATACGTGTAAAGTTGGTGAAGCCTCAAAAAAATCTTCAAGAAAGCATAAAGTAATTAGCAGATAGAAAATTCTTAATGGAAAACTTGGGAAATAAAAGCCTATATTAAAATAAAAACCAGAGGTTTTGCCATGTGCTTTAAGGACTGTTATCAAAAACACGTGTTAATACTGTGCTCATTGCCATTAACTGTGCTTCTCCTTTTGAAATTCAAGCTAGTGTTTCTTTAACCCAAGAAAAAGAAACTTCCTAGGATATGTAATTGTGCCTCTGTGTAAAGTGACTAGGGTTTTGTTAAAATCACGTTCCCACTCCTCAACCCACACTTGGACTAAAAGCATCCTCCAGCCTGGAGGGAATCTACAGTCTTCGAAGATGCTGTTCTAAATCATCCCATTACTATTGTCATAATTTAGTGTATTAAGTAGCTAATATATTTAATGCCACTGATTGCTTGTTTAGGACTTTGATCACACTGCTAAGCAAACTCCAATAGTGGTGAAAGAGGGGTTATCCAAAACAAATTTTATTTCAGGTGTATCCCTTCCCTGAAAATATTTTTAGGATAGAAATGAAATTTCATCCAGAATAATTTTTGGAAAACCCATGCTGGGTTGGATGGAGTCTTCTTTGAGAGTATGGGAGATGGGATTTTAGTTTTAACTTAATTAAATACTTGAGCATTAAGGAAAGTGGCTATAGATTTTTGACATACAGAGGTTCTTTGGAATTGTTCTCATTATCAAGTATAAAAATTCACTGTGGAATGGTCCACATCACATGAGCTTCTCTGTGTCCCCTGGTGCTGCTGCTAACCTGAACTCAAGATCCACTACCCCATTGAGGCAAGAGCACTCAGGGTGAACGTGGTCATGTTACTGTCAAGTGAGCAATGGGGCTTCCGCGACGAGGCCTTCAGGAATTGCTGGATGCAGATTTGCTGCAGTGAGAAGTAGGCAGTAAGTTGCTCCTCACTCACCTTGTTTGCACTTTCATACACCACTGCTTGCACTAGGACCTTTGTGTGGATTTTAACAATTGTCTTACAGTGTATACAGATTGTTAAGGATAATTTATATATAAAGATGTTTCTGTTTACTGTTGTGTATTTTGCAGAGAACGGCTATAATAGATGGTTAACTGTTTTTGTTTTTATGTTATTTTGATTATATTCTATGATCTTCATACTTTATGAATTTGAGTGTCAGAAACAGAAAAATAAAATGCTAACTTGGCCTTTGAAGAACTCTAGTGTCAGATTCCTTTTTTATTAATCGACTGTGATTTTCATTTTGCCCAATAGAAATTTCTTGGAGGGGCTTGCACCAGAGTGCTAGAATTGCAGGTGCCAGGGCGCTGATTGAACTTCCAGCTTGCTCTGCTTTTGATCCAGCTCCATTCTGATGTGCCTGGGAAAGCAGCATAAGATGGTCCAAGTGCCCGGGTCACTGCACCCACATGGGAGATCTGGATGAAGCCCCTGGCTCCAGTCTGTCCCAGCATTGGCCCTTGCAGCCACATGGGGAGTGAACCAGCAGCCAGATCTCTCCCTCTCTGTAGCTCTGCCTTTCAGATAAAATAAATCTTTCAAATTTTTTTTTCAATTGTTTTTAAAGATTTATTTTTTTTTAATGGGAAGTCAGATTTACAGACAGAAGGAGACTGAGAAAGATCCACTAGTTCACTCCCCATGTGGCCACAATGGATGGAGCCAAATCAGTCTGAAGCCAGGAACCTCCTCCAGGTCTCCCACACGGGTGCAGGGTCCCAAAGCTTTGAGCCGTTCTTGACTGCTTTCCCAGGCCACAAGCAGGGAGCTGGATGGGAAGTGGAGCTGCTAGGACATAAATTAACGCTCATATGGGATCCTGGCACATGCAAGGTGAGGACTTTAGCCACTAGGCTGTTGCACTGGGCCAATAAAATAAATCTTTTTAAAAAAAATTGGACTTTTAAAAATTACAAATGATAGAACTTGCCCTTTGTGTGTGAATCCTAAGGAATCCTTACTAAGTAGCAAGATCTGCTTGGCCTTGTGAGACGAAGAGCAGAGTATGAACAGATGGAAGCAGGAATAACAATGCTGACTCAATTGAAATATGAATTATAAGGAAACCAATAAGTTTTCTTCACAATAAGGATCTTTAATTTTTTTAATTTTTAATTTTCTATTACTATTGCTTATAGTTGAGAGGGACGCAACACACCCACGTGGGTCTCCGATTAGAGTGGAGTCAGGTACAGAGGAAGTGGGGTGAGACACATATATTTTTTTTCCTCCTGTGTCCCCAGGGGACATGGGGGGAGGACCACTCTGTTCTCAGACTACATCAGCACCTGGGGATGTTAGGATGG